AAGTTGCAAACAGCTGCTCAATGTGACCTAAAACTAAGCTGTAGGAGCAGTACGAGCGCAAAACTAAAATGTGTTTTCATATAATCGTCAAGCGGAAATATTTGTTCGTCTACACAAGAAAAATCTTAAGCGAGTGAAACTGCAAACCTTTCTTGAAATTTGTTGTTTACGTGTTCTGATGCAATACTTGAATGGAGACATGGCTAGTGGGCTGAAAACCCTTAAAACCGATTGTACAGAAGCAATGAATGGCCATTTAAGCAAGTAAAAATGCAAAACTATGAGCTGGGAAACAAAATGACAGGTGATATGTTGAGTTTTGCTGGGGCACCACGCTAACGTGATTCAACTTTACGCAGATTTAATTAATTTAACAGAACGTCCAGTTATATAAGAGACATACATCAGATGTGTATCCAAAATATCCAGTTACAGAGTGGAAACGCCGGGAAAAATAAGACTGTAAAAGCTGACCAAACGTAGTTTTCATCAGGGCAGAAACCAGCCAATCAGAGAGAAGCACAGAAGCAAAGTTCTGTCCTCCTATTGGCTGACTGGTCAGTTTTTTTCATTTGTTTCCAGTCTAACAATCATACAATCAGTAAGAAGTTCACAGTCATCAAAAATACATTTGATCTTTTACATCCTGTGTGTGTTTCGACAATCATCGTGTGCTTCAACAATCAACAATCATTCCAGCGTGAGGCAAAGGCTTCTGGATGTCTTTTCTTTTTTTTACTTTTTTTTTTTTTCACTTTCCAAAAACCCACATCAAGTTTCTTTTGTGTGTGTGTGTGTTTTTCTTTAAAAACCTCAAGTTTCTTAAAGTGCAGACTATCCGATCAACTACCTGAGTGTTAGTGAGAGTTAGTGCTGTTTCTACACTTTGCTGAATGTGTTTGTTTGTAACCGGTGAGAGACAATAATCAGGACGACTTTTTGCTTTAGACTCATCTTCCTGGTGTAGTGTTTTATGTCGTGAACGATGGACCTGACGTACAAGCACCTGCGCTGTCCACGAAACGTCAGACAAGCATCGGCAGGGATCAGACCGATTATTTTTACATTATAAAGTACAGCTCGATTTGAAGCTACAGAAGTTATAATCCTTAAGATTCCAGTTCGGGTAGATTTGGCGACACCTGTGGTTGGTGGCGGTAACAGCACCAGATTCGCTGAGCTTTTATTTTCTCTTCAGATTTTGAAGACTCTGTTGTCTGAGATCATCAATGTTTCTCGATACAGAAACACACAAGTCTCGTAGATAATTTCACAACACTGCCCCACAAAGGCAGAAAGCAGCAACTGCATGAGGACTGCTTTTAAGCATCACTGAAGAGACCATGAAGAAAATCTAAACAAGAAATGCAGTGAATGCAGCTGCTGCATTCGCTCTCTTTTATCTCCATTTTTGGTCTCCACCACCTCCTGAAGGGAAAATTGGACTTTTTAGCTAGTATTTAGCAATAAAATTAGCAATTAAAGCTGCCATATTTCACAAAAAATATATACATTTGATATTTTTTAAATATGTTTTGATATGTTTTAACCCTCGGAACCCAAAAACCCGCCGGCGGGTTTCAGAGGCATGTTTACTTCTTAAAAATGTACTTCTTACTTTTTAAAAAATTGCCAATTTTACACTTAACTAAACTAAACTGTAAAAGTAGAACGAATAACTGGCTTTTTAACCTTCTAACAGTCTGTGGCCTGTAGTTATGCTGGGAAAATTAACCAAATGTAAGCTTAAAATTATATTTCCATATCCAGTTATTCTGTGTCTCATATGAAAATTTGCCAAAAGTAAACCATGAAACTAAAACGCCATGACTGATTTAGCTTTTAGTTTTAGTTTTAGGCTGAACTGCAGGCAGTGTTTCCACAGAGACACTGAGAGGAAAATCCAACCTACTGGATCAATAAATAAATGCAGCACGGCTCAGAAATAGTGAACAGAGGAGGAAGCTGTTGAAGACCCGTCCACCACGGTGAAACATCTCCCCACAGCTGATGAACAGTTTTTAGAGTTTGTAAAAAGTAAAAAGTGAGTAAAAATGTGACAGAAGCACATAAAAAAAAACCTCCCTAAATGTGCCTGGGGTTCAGAGGGTTAAGAAATGGTCACTTCCTCAGCTCTTGGGTGTTTGGATTGTTAATATGTTGAAGTTATTCGCTGCAGTATTAGCAAACAAAACGCTACTGCTCCCAATCTTTAGTGTTTTCAGTTCAGACATGATGCATTTTCACAGTAAAGTCTTTTTAAGAGGTAAAAAAAAGTCTGATTCTGGTCTGTAGTTGCTGCATTTTGGCTTCGAGGGGCAGTTTAGGTTTAAGTTACAACGATAAACTTGGATTATTTCGTGTTTTTTCTGGGTCAGAAATATTAGTTTTTACTTTAGTTACGTTAACCTGAGCGACTAGAAGATACCAGTCTGGGTAGATGCAAAGACCTGATTGATTTAAACTCATGGAAACTACAAAAACGTACTAGTCCGCGTAGTGGTTCTGCCGATTAAACCAGGACAGAAAATGAACCCGACTTCAGAGTTCTTAAGGATTATGACTGCCTTTAACTCTCTGATCCATATTTACATTTATGGAAAAGTTTCGCTGACATCTGTAGAGAAAATTATATTTAAAAACAAATAAAAATTAAAATAAAAGACCGTGTGCTTGTGTCGGCGTATAAAATCTTCAAAATGCTCTAAAAAAGAAAACACGCGATGTGAACGTCAATATTAAATATCTCTGAAGTGTAAATATTTATTTTGCTTTATTATCAGCTTAAATTGTCTTTAGTACCATTTTTTTGATTCTACTTTGTGCTGTCAATGTGTCGTTTTAGTACAAAAAAAAACAACAAAGTCTTTGTACGCATGTGAGACTGTATGATTCTGTGATCTGGAATGATTCAAACACCTAATGTAAGAGCCTATAAACAGCCGGTTAGTAACAGAAAACAAAACAGAAGAGCGGAAGAGAGAGTGAAAAATAATAATAATAATAATAACAATAATAATAATAATAAAAAAAGCTCTAGCAGTGCTATCACTAATTTACAAACAAAGACTATCCACATTAGAAATGCTGAGCTCCTTAAAAATTTCTTTCTTCACTGTTTCCAGCGTTTTTGTGTTTTTTTTCTACGTGTATATATGTTTTTGTTTTTTAAATTCTTCATGACACCGCCAAACATTTGCTTCATGTGAGGGAACAGCAGGTTAAGACTTGGGAGGGAAAATACTTTGAAATGCTTCTCTACACGTCGTCGGCCGGCAGGTCGGGGATGCAGGTCTTTGCTCGTGTGAAGAACGCCATCTTCTCTCTGCGGACGCACAAAAAAACAGTTTAAACGGTCGCTCCTGGTCATCGTGTTTTCATCAGAACGGTCTCCGATATTCAGATCTTCCATCATTTGATGTGACGCTTGCAGATGTTTTCAGTTATTTTTTTTCTCGCTGACACTTTGAGACATAAAAACAGCAAGATGCAAAGTTTTATTTGACGTGTGCTGCACCTCACTGTAAAATAAACACCCTGAGAGCATCACCAACTTTAAAAACAGATGCAAGGTTAGATTTTTAAGTGCAGGTCTATCGCACAACATTAACC